TCTTCTGGTACGTCGCGCGCAACTTACTCCCACCGCTCTTCAAGTACATCGCACGCACACGCCCCCACCACTCTTCAGATATGTCATGCACACACACCCCCATCGCTCTTCATATACGTCACACACACAAGCCCCCACCACTTCTCAGATACATTGTGGCGCGCACACACTTCCCCACTGCTCCTCAGATAACACAACACCCCCTTAAGACACCCACTCTCCCGCGACCTCCCGCAAATCATCTCTGTCCCCCCCGGAAATGACTAAAAGCGGATTATTAATGTCCATGTAAATGTACTCAGTGAAACTCAGTTAATGTGGCGAGCTGTCAACCATGTTTTCCTTAAACACAACTTTTGTAAAGTGTCTGCTTCACATTGCTTTGTCAGTACCCTTGTGAAATATAGCCATACTTATGAACGCTTGGTTTAAGCAAATTTGGTGAACACGATCATACATGTTGAATCTGAAGGGAGTCGCTCCGCGTGCGTTTCCTAGCAACAAGAACAAATGCCTAAACATCACCGATTTTGCCTTCTGTATCCCTAGTTGTTTAAATGTTTGTAGATGGTGTGACCAAAGTCCCTGTAAAAATGAGTCTTCTGTGTGACACAACGCATAACTGAGGGTGCCTTTGATGTACCGCTTGATGCTTCTTACATCCTTGTCACAACACCAGTGGCAACAAAATTAGGCACCAAAATGCATATGCGGATTCAGTGATCCTGCTTGTGATCCTGCCTGTTCTCACTCTCAGCTCACATCGTTCAAAACAAAAGGGCCACATTGTCCCCCGATAATGTCACCAGACTGGACTGTCTTAGCAACTGGCTGAATGTAGAGGAGGACTAAGCTAATTTTTTTCTACTTGATAATTCATGTTCCCAACTCACAGCAATACAACTTTTCAATGAGTACAATTGTTTGTATTCAATACTTTATTATTATTATTATTAATTTTTTTTCCAATTTCCATATTTGCAATGCCTGCATTTTGGCATATTTTTGCAGTCCACTTAGCATAGAATGGAATCCATCATGGAAATTATTATTTTTTTCTTTATTGGCATTAATTGCTCAAATGGAATTTACATGCCTGAGTTTGTATTCCAAATATGGCTGTCAAGCCAGGATCTTGATGGTTTTCTGTGGGTATGTTGTTTACATGAAGAAATCTGTGTTACATATTAAACAAAATTATTATAAACGATTATATTTAGAATTTAAATAGTTTTTTTTTGTCTTGCGTTTACATTAATTTTACATTTGAATATAAAAAATTACAAGGTTCAGTCTTTTAAATGTGATTAATCGCGATTAATTGTAATTAATTGCAAAAAAGTGTGATTAATAGTTTTTTTAATCGATTGACAGCACTAATATATATATATATATATATATATATATATATATATATATATATATATATATATATATAATATTTATACAGCTAAAAGACCCATTGAAAAAATAATATTATGTTAATTTTAGACACATGCACATTCAAACTAAAAAAAAAATAAATAAAAAAATAGACAACAAACTATTCGGAGAAAATACAAATTACCCTGATTCTTATTTTATAAGCCAGAGGGATAAATGTTTGTGCTTCTCTTGCTATTATGCTTCATGCATAATAAAACTACCGAAATGTATTCAGAAAGTCAACAGGGTCAACTTGGCGTTCATGTTGTTTGCAAAGATGCTGTATTCCCATATATTGTTATGAATTTTCCTGAATTGTACTCACCTCGCACCAGCAGCTCAGCTTCAGCAAGCACACTGTCAGCGCTGGTCTGAGCTCGACAGCCATATTTCCCAGCATGCTTCAGGAGGATGCTCCTGATCATCAGGTCTGCGGTGGAGGACTGCTAAATTGTTGGGAAAAGCAGAAAGAGAGCACACACAGGGGAAGTGAGGTAAAGAGAGAAATAGACCTCCGCGTGGTGCTTGACACCTGAGCAATGGGCTGCTGCTACAGTCTCTATTGGCTTGTGTGGATTAAGAGATTGCTGTTCGCTTTAAGAGCACGAGCGCCATTACTTTCCTCAATCTGCTCTTCTCTGGAAATGAGAAACGCCCCGGGCGAGACTGCGAATAATTCAAGGTCTACAGGCAGCTCTTTAGTACAGGGGCTGATTAAAATTACAGCACATGAATCAGACAGCTGCTGCTGCATGTGCCACTGTCTGCCATGGATGGTCTGTGTGGATCTGTGGTGTCTGTGAGGAATATTCTATTTCACCTCAGCAAAACAAGAAGTATAAAAATTGAGTTATAAGTCACGCTGAGAATTTTTAAAATGTCAATTAAGCAAACAAACAATCAAAAAAAAAAAAAAAATATATATAATAACATTAATATAAATCATTTTAATAAAAGTGTATTTTTAGTGTGATATAATTCTTTCTTTCTTTCTTTTTCTTTCTTTCTTTCTTTCTTTCTTTACCTTTTGTATGTTGGCAGAATTGTTATGTAGAGGAAGAAAGAGACCATCATATAAATAAATGAATAAATAAATAAATAAATAAATAAATACATAAATTCAAATATAAATGAATAATACAATAATACAAAGATACAATAAATAAATAAATAAATAAATAAATAAATAAATAAATAAATAAATAAATAAATAAAAATAATAATACATACATAACAAATCTTTAAAATTAATAAATGAACACAAAAATTAACAAAAAAATATTAAACAAAAAATGTTTTTTGTGTGTGTAATGTATGGAAAACATCCTCTTTACATCCTCTTTATTAATGAATCATTATTATTATAATTCATAATCATTAATATGTAGATTTCAAGTAATATATTTTTATAAAGCACATTTCTTTTAAACAATTATACAGTCAATACAGCCATCTCCATTCAGCAGCACGTACAAACCTCAAACTTTACAGAGAAATAAGAATGTTGTTTTTTTATGTAATACTTTGCATGATTTCATACAGTACATTATTCTTTTTCTTTTATTTATTTATTAATTTGTTGCATGTTGGAAGAATTGTCATAATTATGAAGAGATAAATCCTAAAATAAATAATAATAATAATAATAATAATAATAATAATAATAATAATAATAATAATCTTTACAAAATAATGATGGGACTCAAAAATGTAAAAACAATATATTAAACAAAACAATCAAAGAAAAACCATGTTGTCTTCCCTTGGTTACTGGTTTTATCTTACGATAAAAAAAATAAATAAATGTAAAATAGACTACTTGCAAAAGCAACAATCTCTCTCTCTCTCTTTCTCTCTAACTATTTTTTTTTCTTCATGTAAATTAAAATGTGCTATGAATATTCAATTGAGCTGTGGTGTGTTTGCTGAGCAGACATTTTGTGGGGTTCATGAGAAGATCCTGGTACAAGTGTCTCATAAAGTATTCATTGATGCTGAAAAGCTTCACAGCTACACGAGAACAATATGCTAAAAAAAATAATAATTCAGTTTTTTTTTTTTTACTATTAGACTTCCATTTAATTAGCACAGAACTACAAAATAAAACACACTCTTCACTATTAAGTTTTAGAGAAATGTATACTATACTTTTTGAATTGAAATGTTTTTTTCCCCATCTAATATAGAATTGAATAAATTATGTGAGTATGAGTATGTGGATGGATAAATAAAAAACGAAAATTAAATTAATAAGTGAAAGAACAAATAAATAAATAAATAAATAAATAAATAAATAAATAAATAAATAAATAAATAAATAAATAAATGAGTGAATGAATGAACGAAAGAATGAACGAACATGCACTATTGAGCATGAATTGCCAAAAATAAAAATAATAATAAAATCAGAAAATTTGATAAATTCATGTTTTCATTATTTACATTTTTTTTTTAACGGAGGAAATGGTTAAATATTCCTTTTTTTTTAAATCACATCATAATTCAGAACATATTTTTCAAAGACAAACTTTTTCACAACCTTGTATAGAAGAATAATGTACACAAATAAACAACCAGACACATTGAATGATTGAACACATATACGGTATATGAGTAAAACTGTACAGTTTAGTGTATGTTAGTGGTGCTGAAGTATGGATTTGAAACATTGAAAAAGAAACCTTTCAAAAATATGTACTGTAAATGAAATCTACAGACACAAACTGGTACAGTGTGACAAAAGAAACACTGTAAATGTGTACATTGTATGTTTCATTTGAATTTGACAAAAAAAATAAATTAATAAATATTAACTATGAAATACCAAAATTCCATCAATAACAACATTGTTATAATAATAATAATAATAATAATAATAATAATAATAATAATGACTTAAAAATCATTGCATAAATAAACAAAAAAAGTAATAATAATAATAATAATATTTAAAAAAACATTAATAAATAATAAACATAATCAATGCATATTATTTATTAATGTTTATTATTATTATTATCGTTATTAATAATTATATTATTATTTACTTAAAAAATGCACATAAATAAATAAATAAATAAATAAATAAATAATAATATTAAAATAATAATAAAACAATAATAATAAAAAATAAATAAATAATAAACAAAATAATGCATATTACTTATTAATGTTTATTTTTAATTTTTATTATTATTATTATTGTTGTTGTTGTTATTATTATTAATATTATTGTTGTTGTTGTTGTTGTTGTTGTTACAATTCTAATTCCATATATTATTATCATTATAATTTAACTATTTTATTAATTACTTATTTTATATAATAATAATAATAATAATAATAATAATAATAATAATAATAATAATAATAATAATAATAATAATAATAATAATAATAATAATTTTCACATTGATTTGGATGAAAGCATCAGCTAATTTATGGCAGAATAGAATAACAAACAAACAAGCAAACAAACAAATAAACAAACTATCTGTTCAGCTTATTTAGCAATGATTACTCTTTAAATAATCCAAGCGCTCAGTTAGCTGTTGTGGCAATTAACAATTAAACCCATTGTGGCTTAATCAAATATAAAAGCTCCGGAAGCCTGGTTAACACAGCACACACCGGCCCATGCACATCAGTTCACAATGACTCTGTAACAGTGACAGTTTGATGGCTGATTGGAGCTCAGTGCTGCCGTGAAGGGAACCAAATGATGTTGTCAGCCGCGGGGAAGACTTAAATATGCTCATAATCGGATAGGGAAAGGACACAAGACGATCGGAACTTAATTGCGTGAGCTGTAGCTGGTGCTGAAGAACTGTTTGGAGATATATGAATGCATGCATGAGACGATGTGACTGCATGTCGGAATAACACAACAAATAATTGATGCTATTGTCAATGTCAGACAATCCAATTGGAGCTTGGCAGACAGACACATCATTGTGTGTGTGTGCATATCTTGTAGTTCTAACGTTTTGGGGACCAAATGTTCCCACGAGAATACCAATAGTAGTAAATGGTGACCTTGTGGGGACATTGCTTTGGTCTCTAAAAGGAAAATGGCTCATAAATTATACATATTGACATTTTTTTGAAAATGTAAAAATGCTTATTGTTTCCTGTGATGTTTGGGTTTAGGAGTGCAGTGATTGAATATACAGTATACAGATCACTATGTCTATGGTAAGTCCCCATAAAGATAGCTGTACAAGTGCCTGCGTGTGTTTAATGAGTTTAATAAAACACAGATTTTCATGAAAGAATATGTTGTTCAACTATTAGGGAAGAACTAAATATTAAATATGAACACAAAAAAATCTGGAAAACAATCAAGATTTCAATTAATATATACTGTACAGACTTCACAAATCTGCAGTTTCTTAGGATAGACTGAGTTAGGCCTATGGTTATGATTATTAATTGTAAAATTGTAATATGCAAATTTTCAAGGAACTTTTTAAGTAAACACCTTAAACTGCCGTGTGTGTGTGTCTTGTTGCAAATTGCATCGAAAAACTATTACAAATGGTAATAGCTTTAAGGTGTTTACATGTCCAACCCAGGATCATTGCAGATACGTACCCAAGTCTACATTTCTGAGAACATCGAATTTTGTAACTGGAGGTACATAAGCTCTGAGTTTTTCAAATCCACCAGAGACCACAGTGTATGCTTTTTGGTGATCTCAAATTTCTCTCGCAAGTCCTTTTCTCATGTAAATCCACCAAAGGGTGCAATATACACTTCAGCCGACCTAAACCCAACTGATAGTGTTTTCAAAAGCAATCTAGAAAAAGAAAAGCCATCTCGGTCATGTGATTTCACCACATTTTTAGTCTGTTGTTTATTTATTTTTTTGCTTTTGTTTTATGGCTTCTGGAAGCGTTGTTTACAAGACTTGAACCCCGTCATCGCGGTCAACTCAGCTACACATCCCATGTCCACTGACATATGCGGCGAGCTTTACTGAGCAAACTGGAAAAACCGAAAAAGCCATCAGGTCGGTGATCAATAACCTGATAAAACTCTGTCTGAGCTCCAGCATTCTTCTGTGGAGAGAGAAGAACCTTACAGAAGGACAACCATCTGTGCAGCAATCCATCAATCAGGCCTGCAGGCCAGAGTAGCCAGATGTATGCCAATCCCTGCCTGGAATTTGCCAAAAGATATCTGAAGGACTCTCAGACCATAAGAAACAAAATTCTCTGGTCTGATGAGAATAAACTGAACCCTTTGGAGTGAATGCCAATGCCAGTGTTACAATTGGAGAAAACCAGGCACCGCTCATCATCAGGCTAATACTATCCCTATAGTAAAGTATTGTGGTGGTGGTGGCAGCATCAGGCTGTGGGGATCAGCATCAGCAGCAGAAACTGAAAGACTAGTCAGGATAGAGGGAAAGATGAATGCAGCAATGTACAGAGACACTCTGAATGAAAACCTGCTTCAGAGTGCGCCTGACCTCAGACTGGGGTATCGGTTCATCTCCCAGCAGGATAATGACCCAAAGCACACCGCCAAAATATAAATGGAGTGGTTTCACAATAACTCGGTGAATGTCCTTGAGTGGCCCAGCCAGAGCCCAAACCTAAATTCTATTGAACATCTCTGGAGAGATCTGAAAATGGCTGTACACCGTCGCTTCCCATCCAACCTGATAGAGCTTGAGAGGTACTGCACAGAGGAATGGGCAAAGATTCCCATAGACAGGTGTGCCAAGCTTGTGGCATCATATTCAAAAAGACTTGAGGCTGAAGTGAAGCGTTATAAAAACTTTCCAGATACACTGTATGACAAGCACCACAATCTCAAAAGCAAGGTATTTGACGTTTTTGAAAAAAAAAAAAAATAGGCTGTGGAATATATTTCCATTGAGTCTGGACTGTGTTTGTGTGTGTGTCCATGTGAAGCCACGTCACTGCTGATTTTGTGGCTGTTGATGCTCTAATCAGTGTGTGGAGCTGCTGCTTCTCTGAGACTCTGATAAACATGATGGTGTGATTCACAGCGGGTCTTTCATCATGATGACATACGGTCCTGGCTGACCTTTCACTCCATTGATTCTCACTGCAGTTAAAGCAGGATTTGGTGCAATGTGGCATCCCTAAAATAAGTAACTGTGACTCCATCTGTTCAGACTGAAAATCTATTGAAGAGTTGGATACTGTTTGCAAAAAAAAAAAAAAAAAAAAAAAAAAAAAAAGCATACTTGAAAATATATTTAACATTTTTTTTAAAGAAGCTAAATTTACTAAATATTTGCTTGGAACACTGCTTGGAACACTGAAAAAAATTATTCATTTGATTTCCTTTTTTTAAGGTATGTGGTTGCAAACAACTTATATGGCCTTTAAATTTTATTTAAAAATTGATTATTAAATCATTATTAAATTTAATTTGATTGTTTATATTCGGCCCATATTAACTGTTTGCAAGCAGTTACCTTAAAAAATGAAGTAAATGCTATAAATAATTATTTTTTTAGTGGTAAGTCGTTCCCAAATTGAGAATTGGGATCCAATGGGAAAAGGAGGGTCGTTTTGTGTTTTTCAAAAATCAAATACATTTTATTAAATGGTTGAAATTAATATATTTATTAATAACCTACAAAAGATCAAAAATAGTAGTTATTACTTACATTTTTTTAAAAGACACACAAATAAAAAGCCATTAGCTTTATGATCTTTTTTTCCCCACTGGATTGCTGTCCATAGGGTGTTTCGAGGGGCAGTAGATGATCTGCCAAAATGTTATCGTTAGCTTTGAAAACAGTCCCTGTCCTGCCGTCCAAAGTCAGGCATCCTGAAATAAGCAACACACATTTTAAAGATGACAGAGACTCACTAGATCAGGGGGCTGTTCCAGAAAGCAGGTTATGTGACATAACCAGGTAAGTTTGAGAGTAAGTAGGTGGATAACCTCAGCTTTGGTTCCAAAATCGGAGGTAACTTCTGGGTATGCGTCACTTCATATAGCGGCCGTTTTTCGACTGAACTAAATTTATTTTTGATGTCTTGGTCAGACTATTTGGAGGGCCAGAACAAATTTCCTCGGGGGCCGGGTTCAGCCCGCGGGCTGCCAATTGAATGGCCCTGCACTAGATCATGTCATTCGGCAGTTAGAAAACTTTGTAGTACTTTATAATACTACAACTCCAAACAAAAAACTGTATTATATCTAGCACGTTTTCAGTTGTGTAGCAAACAAAACTTGTCATAATGTGCAATATTTTATGCATCCAAGGATCGCTGGTCTCCGGTACAGCGTTAAAGTGGATGCCGAGGCTGATGCGCACCTCTCAAAAAATGTAACTGCTCGGTGCAATGACAGGTAGCGCAAGCTCTGTGATTGGTCAGCTTGGGTAGCGTGAGCGGTCCTGAGAGCCGCAAGCCCGATGGAGCAGGAGTATACAAGTGTCGAGTCCGGTAAAGAAACTCGAGATACAAAATTTAGTTTTGTGTTTACCTTATGATTAAAGTTGTTACACGTCTGCCGGTTCCCGCCTCTGAATGAGTGAGTTTCAGCTACTTGAAGCGTAAAGAAAAAAAAACAATCACCTGCAAAAAAAACTCGACACAGAGCAACATAAAAAACTTACTGCCAGCTAGAGATTTGTTGCAGAGCAACACAAACAGCGAGCAGATGTATACTGTCAATGCATGGCTATGCGCAAGGCAGTCGCCATGGGTCATGTCAACGATGCAGAAGTATAAATCAGCCTATATTACTAAGCCATACTTTCATGCTATTTTAGACTGAATATTCAAAGTAGCATGGTAATCAATATAGGGACCACATCATAGGTTGTCATTGTTCAAAAATGAACCAATTTGAATATAAAAGCAACTTCACCTTAGTAAAGCAGGCTAGACGGAATAGCGCAATTTACTTATAAAAATCTACATTATCGATGCTGTAAAAGGTCCCTGCATGTCTGTCTGCGTAAACAGGAGTGCGCAGATAAAAATCTACATTTGTTGACAGACAGTTTGGGCTACTTATCAGAATTTTGGGAATTGCTGACCTGACAAGTTTTAATTGGACGACTTATAATTGGATTTTTTAGTCTTATGTCTTACCCAGAATATAAAAAATACATATAAATACATTTAGATCGTTTACTTTAATCATTACTATTGGAATGTGAAGAGACTTTCAACCAGCACAACAGCACATGTTTCTGAACACAATCCAGTACTTTACCTTTAAGTTAGATTAATAACAAAGCAATATCATCAATTGCAGCAGATCAATTTTGACACCGAAAACTATCTGACACTTTTTAGACACTCACGTACATTAAAAGTAAATACAGGTCATCACTGAACTTGGAGGAAGATTTACAGTTCTAGTGTCAGTCTTCAAAATTAAAGCAAGACTCCAAAATAATGGACTTGCTGTGCTCCAAATATTGTGTTCACTCATCTCATTAGGTGAGGTTAATTTTAATATTAAACAAATGGATAAATTACTATGCAATTACATGAAAGTTAGACATTTAATTTTTTTTTTGTTTTGCTAATATGCTTGTGTTTATATATTCCTATTGGTGTGTACATGTGTGTGCTCGGTTGTGTGCATTGTTTGTATATTTACAATAAACACTCACGATAGAGGGGGTTGTGACTTAATGACGTTGTTATTTTAGAAGTCATAGGCTGAAAAGTTTGGGAAGTTCTGATATACAGTTGAAGTCAGAATTACTAGCCCCCCTGAATTATTAACCCCACTGTTTATATTTTCTACCAATACCACTGTTTAACGAAGAGCAGATTTTTTAAACACATTTCTAAGCATAATAGTTTTAATAACTCATTTCTAATAACTGATTTATTTTATTTTTTACCATGATGACAATAAATAATATTTGACTGGATGTTTTTTTAAGACTCTTCTATACAGCTTAAAGTGACATTTAAAGGCTTAACTAGGTTAATTAGGTTAACTAGGCAGGTTAGGGTAATTAGGCAAGTTATTGTATAACGATGCTTTGTTCTGTAGACTATCAAAAAAAAGCTTAAAGGGGCTAATAATTTTGACCTTAAAATTTTTTTTTTTAAAATAAAAACTTTTATTCTAGCCAAAATAAATCAAACACGACTTTCTCCAGAAGAAAAAATTTTATCAGACATACAGTGAAAATTTCCTTGCTCTGTTCAACGTCATTTAGGATATATTAAAAAAAGAAAAGAAAAAGCCAAAGGGGGACTAACAATTCTGACTTCAACTGTATGTGACCTACATTATGAACAGAGCTGCGGTGAAACCTCTTACTGTTTGGATGTACTCAAAGTGTCCTCCATCCTGCTGTGTGTTGAGCGGTTGGTTGTTCAGCAGCCAGAGGAAGGACACGTCCAGCGAAGGGTCATGAGTGACTTTACAGCTGAGCACCACACTCTCTCCCACCGTCACCTCCACCCGCAGGGGGCTCAACTCCACCCGCATGGGCTCTGAAACACAGACGACATTCTCTTCATCAGTACACAACAATCATATCACACTGAAGATCATTTGAAGAACAGAAAAAAATTCCAAAATTATCTTTTTTAGACTTAGGAGTTGTAAAATTTGTTATGGTATGTAAGCAATGTCATACAAATAGCCATGTGTTTTTATTATACAACAGTTCTGTCTGGTTCTCAAATCTGATTGGCTGATAGCTGTGATATAGTAAAGCAATATCAGCACTCATACAGCCTTTTCACCGTTTTGTACTACTCCGCCCCCACAAGTGGCAAGCAGAGCACTACAGTTTGACTAAAATTGCAGCTGTTGAACAACATAATGTACTTTTGAGGCTTTTTTTAGGTGAGAATGTAGATGTTTAGAACTGCTAAGCAGTTTATTTATAAGGATAGCGCCTAATTTAAATGGTCATAATTTTGGAGATTTAGTACATTGGCGGCCATCCTCCTGTAATACTAAGCAGAGCAAAGATGGTTAACGTTCTGCCACAAGATGGTGACAGAGACCGCAAAATAGGTCTTTAGGGAGAAAAACAATTTTTTTTTTGCATAAATTTCAAACTACAGCTGATCATTCATTACAAAACAGGAAAGTGGCATTTTAAGTCGACCTCTCTCTTTTGAATTTTGTAGATGTATTTATAACATATTATCTGGTAGTGGAGATTTTGAGACGCTCCTTGTTTGATTTTATTTTTTTATATCCACGATTATGCCATCAACTGTTGTATACTGTAAGTGCAATATCTCACTCGTAGCAGTGTGTCACATAGTGCCCATATAGCGCCATTTTGCTCTGCTACGAGTGTAATATTGCTCATATACAAACCTGGATATAATATTGCATTTATTCTGTTGAAATTCTTGATTCTGATTGGCTGGATGGTGTGTGACAAAATCAATTAGTTCCAGTCAGTTTTAACAGTTTACAGTTCAAAATAAGTGCACTACCCTCAAACATGGAAACTATAGGAACTCCATTTCCAGAGCATTTAGCTTTAGCATATAGGAACATTTTCCAGAGCATTCATTCTTTGTGTAATTCCAAAAACCAATGGGATCAACTCACACATAGGTAAAAAAAAAATATTCGCTAAGAGGTAGCTAACTAGTGTTACTATGAGCTATTAGATATGACTGTGTCATGTACACTGTAAAAATTATGGGTTCCACACAATTCCTTCATGTTGTCCCAACTCAAATAGATTAGGTTAATTTAATACTTTTTTTTTTTTTTTTTTTTTACAGATTTAAGTGTTTAAATTGACATTTTTTTTGTTTGTTTGTTTACTTGCTTTATGTAGACTATTGTAATGTCTATGTATAATATATGTATAGTGATTAAAAATCAAGATTTTGCACACGGATGTTTTTTTTTTTTTTTTTAGTATTATAATGCATGGTGACATAAAATCTGTCTGTATTATTACTGTATCAGGAACTATACCATTATTAACCATGTCAACTTATTTATTTATTTTTTCATTAATTTATGTTAATAATTTAGTTTGTGAATTGTAGTTATTGTGATTTTCTTTCGACATGACATGCATAGAAATAAACTGACTACAGTTTGACACATATTGCAGCTGTTGGACAAAATAATGTACTTTTAAGACCGTTTTAGGCGAGAATGTTGTTGTTTGGATTGCAACTATGCAGTTTATTTATAGGAATAGCGCCTATTATAAAATATTTATAATTTCGGAGATTCAGCACATCGGTGCTGACGGTTGAAGTTCTGCCCAGGGCTTAATTTGTGCCAGAACAAGCTGGATCCGGCACCTCTGAAATCTGGTCGGCACCTCATTTTACCGATCCCCCTCCTCAACCGCCCTCCTCCCATGTCCGCTGTTCACTTTTACGTTCTTCCACAACTCCCCAACCCTCTTCACTTTCGTCCGCAACATCACCGATCCGCTCCCTTTCGTATGTGCGACACCCTTCCGCCATCCACCCCACCCCCTCTCCTCTTTTGTGCGCAGCACCTCTACATCCTCAGGTAACATGCCAGATCAGTTACTACGATCTGTTTTGGGACCTCGCAATTCACAAATAAAGCACTGGTTCTGCCAAAAGATGGGGACAGAAACTGCATAAAACATCCATAGAGGAAAAAAAAAGTCAGCATCTTGCAGCATGAATTTCAAACTACAGCTAATTAAATTATTATGGAACAGGTAAGTGACATTCTAAGTGAATCTCTCCCTTTTGTATGTTGTCGTGCTGTCTATATACGTGTTAGCTTTGCTTTGCCTTTTATAGAGTTAACTATTGCGAAATCCCGATTGCAAAGGAGAAATACTGAGAAATCTGTAGGCTGATGGTATTTCATGACGTTCAGCCTTGTAATCTTAAAATGTGATCAGAGTTATCATTTTTTTTTATCATTTTAGACATTACGCTAGAGAATAATTCAAATACCAGCTCTAAACTTACGTTTGTGAATTAGCAACGGTTTCTGCTGTTCTGACTGTCAGCTGCAGATGTGAATGAATGGCGGAAGAAAGTAGTTCCTTGTACAAAAGTTTTTTTGACACTCTCTGGGTTAGATTTTGATACATATATTATGTCGTCAAACTGTTGTATAAACGCAATATCACACTCGTAGCAGTATGATATGGCTATATATCATTACTGGTGGGACACTAAGGCACACAATCTGTGGCCTTGAGCTAATGCACACCTCATATATATGTTTTCTGACTTGATGAAATCGTAAACTACTTTTTGTCTGCTTTAATACTCCTATGAGTTCTAACAATATTTTATTCACTGTACTTGTTAGTTTATTGTCCATAGTAATCTTGCATGCAACATTTTAAGAAATTTGTCTATCTCTCGGGAACCCTTCAACAAATACTCACATCTGCCAGCAGAGATAAAATCAACACAATTTGTCCCATGCCTTCAAGTTATTATCTGCTTTCTTGGTAGGGGACAACCTCCTCAACAACAGCTGTCCTTGGAGACAGTAAATGCTCTTGTGTCTTGAGCAGCCCAAACAAACATCTTCACGCCTGATAAGCTGCAATGAGCTTTTTCTTCCGTCCGGCTCAGTCAAGAGGTGTCTGTTTGCTTTGGTGTGGTTAACCGTGAGCTGAGGTTACTATAAGGGTCTCTTACCTTTCACCAGAAGCACAGTGGTCAGCTCTGCTGATCCAAACTGGTTTTCTGCACGGCACACGTAGCTTCCCTCATCCGAGCGGCTGGAGTTAATGATGCGCAGGGTGTTGTTCCGAAGTAACATGATCCTGTTAAAAACACAGTTCATTTAGAATGGCAAATATTCACACACTTCTTCAAAAAGGTGAAATCAACTAATTAGCACAACATCAAAAACTAATTAGAATGAAAATGTGACTGATGACGAGATAAGCACCAAAGGTAATGCATATTTACCATGAATTTAGAACTGTATGGCATTCTGTAGAATATCATTGATTATCATGTAAGTAAGGTAAACATTTAGAGCTATGTTTATAGTCAAGTAATACTCAGAACATAAAATTTAAACTTTTTTGGGGGTTTAAATTGAAATAACCCTCCTCTCGCATTCATGTACGTAATAATATTACTTTTCTAATTAATGAGGAAAGTAACTCATAACTTTTAAAAATCAAGAAATAATATCTGAGTAACTTTTAAAAAAAATGTAATTCAAGTTACTTTTTATTTTAACGAATTAGCATTTATTCTAATTACCATTCTAATTAGCATTTGAATCCGCACTCAATGAGAAAGTTTGCCAGACAAAAACAGACAAACACCAAGATGACAGGCCACAGCCTTACATTTCTGTGATGGAAGTATTCTCATTATTTTGAATGCATCCAAGAAAAAGAAAACGGGATTGTCTCAATAAAAAGTGATTTTACGTAACTAATAAGACAATATGTGCAAAAGTAGCAAAGACTTTGCTTTAAACAGGGCATGGGATGATAACCGTTTTCAAGGTATACCGCGGTAAAAGTCGAGGTTTTAAAACCGCCAAGATTTTTTGTAATACCATTCTTGGTATGTATGAGATTTTTTTTATTTACTTTCTTTTCTTTCTTTTTTTGTAGTTTTTTAGAACAGTATCTTCAACAGAAAAGATATCCAAAGATGCTGTTTTAAAATGTAAAGAAATCTGTGTGATTAAACTAATGAACACAGCAGAAGTCTATGATTCATTTTCATTATTTTGCCTGACATGTTTACTGCTCCAAAATATTTTAAATCTTTCAAAAAATAAAACATTGTTTTTTAAAGGGGGAATTTTTATTTATTTATTTTTTATTTTTTTACCCAGACATTTAAAAAGAATCTATTTAAGAGCAGTAATCACAATACCGTGATATTGTGAAACCATGATATTTTCATCCAAGCTTATTCATTAATTTGTACAGCATGTACAATATAGCCATCAGGAAGTTCCCAAAACATAACATTATCCTAAATTATATTTTTTTCTGTGTGTTCTTGAAGGTAAATGAAGGTGTAGGTTATACAGTGCATTGTTAATTGCTGAGCTTCTCTACTGTACAAAAAAAGCTCTGAGAGAGATCAAGCCTCAGTCAGGTAAGAAAAAGTTACTTAAAAGTAACAAAATGCATTACTTACCATAAAAAGTACCCATGTACCACAATTAGTTTTTTTTTTGAGAGTAACTCAATATTGTAATGCATTACTTTTAAAGGTGACTTTCCCCAACACTGGTGTTGTGTATGGGGATATTGGTTGAATATAGTCTGGATACCCATTCATTTCCTATTCATTTCACTTTTGACCGGGAACACCACATGTGTAACAAGGCTGATTAAAACACACAAAATTCAATGAAAGAGGTGAGGTTTTATATTTTTATACGTGTTTTTATATGTTTATACAGTAAGTATGGAATATATTACAAGACCCTAAACCAATCAGATTTAAAACACAATATTTATCAGTGTTTTATGTTGTTAATCGGTCAGATTTGACCTAAGCATGACAGGAAGGTTAAACATTATATTAATTCCTTTCATAGTTTGTAAGCAAATATTTTCAGTTTATCTAATGTAGCAACACTACATTAATGCTTAAATACATGCATATTCCATACAATGAATGAATGAATGAATGAATGAACGGTAAATATAATCTTATTGAAACCATTCTATCCAATTATTTAATAATAATATTTTATATCCATATTTACATTTAATTTCATTCTTATTACTTTAATTCTACAGAAAAAACCTTATCCAAATATTTTCAAGCAAGCAAACATGAACTATTGAATGAATAAACGAAGGAATGAAGGAATCGAAGGAACAAAGGAATTACGGAATAAAGGGTATGAACGAAAGAATGAACGAACAAAGTAATGCACAATAAAAAACAATATATCTGAACAATAAATGTACTGTATAAGAAAGAAAGAAAGAAAGAAAGAAAGAAACAAACAAACAAACAAACAAACAAACAAACAAACAAACAAACAAACAAACAAACATAAATAATTAAAGAAAGATTTGAGTTAATACAGATTTGGTAGGTTTTTATAATGTAGTATGTATAATTATAAAGAAAGAAAAAAAACAAAGAAACAAACAAACAAACAAACAAACAAACAAACAAACAAACAAATAGGAGAACAACCAAAGCATTTTCATAAAAACCTTACACTTATCAAAAACTGCAAACAAATTGTAACTCGCATTTGATTTATGTTGGAACTATATACCGCCATTTTATCTTGATCTGATACAAAATGAAGAATCTGACATTTAAAATGTTTCCTCTTAACATATTTAACCTTACAAATAAAACATTAAGTAGAAAAGTTGTCTCCAAAAGTCACAAAAAAAAAAAAAAAACTAACAAACGAAGGTTCAAGTCTGGAACAATGTGTAAACGTATGAACAGTCTGTCTTACTCTGTGAGCAAAAAGGGCAGTAATGACCAACGTCAGGATTTAAAACTGAAATAAAAGCATTGTATGTATAATTAAAATGAAATAAAGAAATAAAAAAGGAAGAAAGAAAAAGTAAGAAAGGAAAAAAGAAAGAGAGAAGGAAAGAAAGAAAGAAAGAAACACCATTTAAACTTTCATTTTAAAAAGCACGCACAAAAAAACAAATGAGCCAACAAAAAGTAGGCTTTTCCGAACAATTCTTGTCCTTCATTGTTATTTTAACATCTAGATTTACAGATAATGTTGTCAATAGAGTCATTTAAAATGTTAATTGACTGATAGTATCTCTTCATGAGGATTAGCAGCGTCGATGGCTATCAACAGAAATTAACCAATTAACTGTTCAAAGAATTGAAAGGGCTTTTAATTGTAACAGTAAAAATGATAATATCCATCTAAATCATTCGCTTAAGTTACAGATGACTCTTAAACTGAAATATTTAGCTAGCATTAGAATGATTAATATGCTCATCCAAATATGCGACGCGTCAAAAACGTCCTTAATCGGAATACTGTTAATTTGAAGTCAAGATGAGATATTCTCCTAATGACATTTCTTTCTTTAAGAAACCAAGAGAGAGCAGGAAGGCAAATTGAATTTAACAGAGATAACTAGAGTCTTACTTTTATCTTATCATACGCTCTCATTCACTGCTCTGAGAACAGTTTCACAGAGCACCTCTGTGCTGCCCTCATATAATGAATTAACTTCAGACAAAGACAGAAGTCATTTCTTGTCTGAGGTCCAGAGAAGACACAATGGAGAGTTTAAAAAAGAGAGAGAGTCTCGATCTGAAGAAGCCACCTGAGAACTGAGCAACAGGCTTTCAGTTTATTATAGCTCTTAAAAAGCCATCACCTAAAGTGTCACAAAGTGAATGCACTAAAAAAGTTATTATCTCACTTCAACATCAAAGTTGTTCACACTTCAGACATTTTTTTTTAAGAGAATCAAACTTAGACCTCATTAAATAGATGGAAAAGTGAACTCTTTGCCTTTACACTCTGACAGCAGACCTGCTTCTTTTTAGTCGAGTTTTGTTGTGATTCATTCAGGCAGTTAGTTTAGTTTTTTTAATATTGGTATCATTATTTTTTAGTTCAGTTTCCTTTACATAAGACTTTAGATAGATATATTCATATGTTTTCCAGTACCGGCTTGTGGCTGGAGGGGCATAAAAGATGAAAAGGAAAACAGGTAAAACATATGTTGGAATAATTTATGTTTTTCCCCCTCACTGTGGTGACCCCTGATAAATAAGGGACTAAGCCAAAGGAAAATGAATGAATGAATGAATGAATGAATGAATGAATAGCTATATATTGTCATTGCACCATGTACATGACATTTCAACAGTTCACACTTAGCTGATGACTGATTATGAAGCTTGCTTGGCACACTGTCCCGGGAGAGAGCCTTAAGCTCATAAGATCCTCGAGCCTGGGGCTCCCTCCCGTTTTCAAGGCGAGAAGTGAGTTTGAGCTCAGGCAGATCTAGAGAACTCTACTGTAGTAGCTAATGAACAGATAGTGATTGCTCTTAAGAGGTAACTACTTACTAGGAGCATGTCTATGGTGCCGATTTGGATTAGTCAATTATCTTAATTTGCATGTTTTTGGATGGTGTGAGGAAACCGGGGGACCTGGGGGAAACCCACGTGAGCATGGGGAGAATGTGTAAACTCTGCACAGAAACATCGGCTGGCTTGGTACGCACTACAACCAGTGACGTTCGTGCTGTGAGGCAACAGTGCTAACCACTGGGCCACTGTGCCACCGATCTAGGAAAGGAGGAGGAGTAGGGGTGGAAGGGGGGATTCTTCAAAACGAAGATGGCTGTTATATGGAACTTAGAGTATTTATAGTGGCTTAGGAAACGTCTTATTTGTTAATCATAAATTGAATAATGCGGGGACGGCTGCAAGACATTGTAAGCACATGATCCTCTCGAAATTAGTTTATAAATAAACTTCACTTCAACTCATTAAATAGTAACTACAGCTTTTAACAGTTAAAGTTATATTATATATAAGCATAGTTAACCGGCAGTTATATAATATAGCTGATGTCATTGTGTACATGTTAAATGAAGAGTAGTACCATAAAATAATTATAAAACTATGTTATAAGAGACACACATGCACACACTTTCAATCAAAACAAACAATTCATACTCAGCAGTCAAAGGACTTCAATGACATTAATCTAATTATGTGTTATAACATGTAAAACAGGATTATTAAAGAAACATTCAAAAAGCAACTGATGTGAACGCCTCAATCTTATAATAGTCTTAATTAGATTAAGGCTAAT